TATCATGGTTAGTAGAGGCCGGTCTTCGGACCGGGCGAAAGGGGGTGCTCATAGCTGACCTTCCCCGATCGTACCCAAGCTCTCGAGCCAAGACAACTTTGGTGATGACGGACATGTGGCCTTCGGCACCGAGTCAGGGTTTCCTAAATTCCCCCATAAAAAATATTTAGGTGGCGACTCTGTATCTGGCGAAGCAGTCCATGTTTGGCACTTCTTTTCAAAAAAATCTGTTTCTCAAAACGATTTGCCGGATTTGGACTCTTTGGTTCAAGATTAAGAACCGTGACGATTTGAGAGTCCGAGCTGTAGTAACCCCAAATGAACAAGACGGGACTCACCCTCCCGGGGCGTTCGGGGACGTCTACAGTATATAAACTCTAGTTTGGGATACTTGGGATGGGCTCTAAGGGGTACCCAAGTTTGTGGAAGGGCGAGGTTATGAGTAAAGTGGGCTAGACCCATTGGACCCAAAACAAAAACATGCACGCGCCACCGCCGTCCATCCGGTCGGTCGGTCGAGCCGGGCTTGGGCGCGGATGCGTGGTGTGAGGTTGGATTGGGCTTGTCCGACCCAATACTTGTCTTTTTGGGCCAAAAACATTTGTATTTTATTTATTTAATTTTGAATTTCAGTTTCAAAATTCAAAATAAATCTGTCCAAATTTTTCCCTCCACCTTAAGAGGTTCATACCTGTTAGAATCCACCCGAAGAGGTTCATACCTGTTGAAATTCCACCCAAACAAATCTATTTCTATTCAAATCTGTCCAAACAAGTTTTCTACCTGTTGAATTTGTCCGAACAGGTTTTCTATCTGTTGACACCTATTCGGAAAAGCTACCCATTCTCCTATATATATCTTGTCATTCCAGCAATTCTATCGTCAAAATCTTCCAAACATTTCTTTCGTTCTTCTTCTGTTCGTCTTTTTGTGCTCTCGCATCAGTCTATCATTTAGTTTCTAAGATAAAAAAGAGAGAGTTATAGCATTATTTGGTTCGTCAAACTTGTGATTGTAGTGCTGCAAATCAAGTGTTAGTCGTTACATATTGGGAAGTAGATGCCGATAAATCTTGAAGCACCGGAGCGAGGGTGAAATCTACTTTAAGGAGATTGTGTCCAACACAAGCCTCGACTTACAATTTCTGTAAGCAATTGATTCGGAATTTAATTTATATAATTATTTTCTGGATTAATTATTTTTGTTTTGTTGTTTATTTTTTTTTATACATTTATTTACACATACACACAACCATTGGGGATAACAATATGTTTGTACTTTGTTCCTGTTTTAGAATTTTTATCCCTTCCGATTTTCCTAATAATTTTCTTCTTCTTTTGAGGTTGACCTAATAACTATTTAGCTATGCTTTTGTTGGGCATCTCTAGATTTGTTAACTAAACCAACTATGAAACGGCATATGTTGTTGAGACATCCATGTTGTTTGTTCAAAAGAAAAGAAAGTAAAGAAAAAAGAAACATATATATATATATATATATATATATGAGAACATGTGTTTGTGTTTTTTTTTAGTATTTTTCTTCTCTCTGGTATCTCTATAAACTATTTAGATTTGGCTTTTTTTTTCCTCTCAGGCGATTTTCGCGGCATGATTTTCTCAAATTCTATGAAGATCAAGAAGTTGGAGAAACCAACCAAGGTTACAGGGTGGTCTCATATATGTGTGGAAACTATCTAGTTGTTATGATTACATTTATGGGACTATTGTCTAAATTTGAATAAGCTATTAGCTCTTACTATTTGCTCTTTGTAGTGTGTGTTCTTGTTTGTTGGGTTGATGATGCTACTAGAAAAACCTTGTGTTTTGTGGGTACAACTGGACTTACTTTATTATCAACAATGATTCATCCCCCCTTTTCCTCCCACCCCCTTTGACCCCCTCTCTCTCTCATTGGTTACATTTTCTTTTTCTTTTTCTTTTTTTTCCTGCTCCTCCAATCACCACCCGCCACGTGGCAAAGGGGGGTGAGGGGGTGACCCCCAAAAGGGGGTCCCAAGCATTATTCCTTTATTATTAGCCTTGTAATAATTTATGGGTGAATTTGAAATTTGTGTTTTGTGTGCAATTGCACCAATGTCATGAGTGATTGTCAATATTATTGAATAAATTATACAGGAGACTCAAAGAAGAAGTTTTTAATCTTAATGTGGGTTGATTGATTGAAAAATGGGCAGTACCATGTATAAACTTCCAGGTTGATATTACTTGGATAAATTACAGTTAGGCCTTACAATGTAACATCTTTTTCATTTAAGTTCTTCAAGTTTCGATTTTGTCAATTAAGTCATTAAAGTATTAAATTCGAATTAATTTAGTCTTGAAGACAATACAAAATAAAATATAAATTTTATAGTAAAATTTTACTCTGATTCACTATAAATTTTATTGTGAGATAGAGTAAAATTTTATTATTGACATTAATTTCAGCGGTAAAAATTTTATTACTTTTTTTAAAGAATTTCATGGATCTTATTTGTTAAATTTTAATAAGAGAATCTTTAAAATATTAATTTTATTAAAAAAATGATGTCTAAATCAAAAGTTATATCAATTTAAAATTTATTTATTTTTTAGATAGGAATTTATATTTTAAATTATTAAATCACTCAATGGACTTTCCAAGAAAAAAATTTGTGTTATTACTTAATATATGAAAGTTTTATTATGAAGGGATTTTGACCAAATTTTCCTTTAAATAATTATTGTTTGTAAAATTATGACATTATTTTATGTTTTGAGCGTATTGTGGTTATATTGTACATAATGACAAAGTATATAAAAACCGTTGTTCCAAACCGAAGCAAATTACATTTTCTAAGTTCGATTTGATTTAGTTCCAAAATTTTCATAATTTAGTTCGATTCTAAATTTCATAAAACTGTAAATAGTGATTTAGTCTTGATTTGCCTCAAAACTGAACCATGCTCAACCCTATACCTATCCATTTTGAGTAATACTACGAATTCATAATTTTTATCCTGAATTTTATCCAGAAACATCAATTTATGAGTTAGATTCATTTATATGTAAACTCTACGCTATATCAATTTAATATTTCCCATACAAACACAATATCAAAAAAAATCTAAGCTGATAAGTCTGGGACATAACATTAATGATCCATTTTCACCAATAGTTCTTAGTAATAGCCCAGTCTAGAAGATGTCCTTGCAAGTGAGAAACCCATTTGACATCTCTTATTCAATAGGTTACACAATTACACATCAAAACTGGGGCAGGGTTTAGCAGAAACTAGATTTAAACTATAAATTAATGCATTACCATAAAAAAATTAAAAAAGGGACAATTAAAAAAAAAAAAAAAAAAAAAATCACAAAGTTTGACCCTTATATCAAAATAAACCATAAACTTTTAATTTTGTTAATTTAAACCCTAAACTTTTAATTTGTTTTCAATATAAATCATTTGTCTATTTTTATTAAGTAAAAATAACTATAAAATGATATTTTAGTCATTAAACTCAATAAAAATAATATTTTAGACATTTTATGTATACTTACACCATCTCCAACCTAACAAAAAATGTTTCGTCAAATATAAAATTTGATGAAAAAACCCACCTTTTGCTGCTCTAACCCAGCACCAAATGTTTCATTAAATCTAAGATTTCTCAAATCTTTCATGAAATTGAGCATCAAATCACTATTCATAGCCGTTGGAACTACAGGTCATTTTCACCACCAGACAACTGGCTAGTATAATTTTTTCACAAATTTTTGCAAGGAGGTGGTCCATCTAGGGGGACAATCGGCAGGACATCCAGCTGGTCGTCCACCCGATCGACTGGTGTTTTGATGAAAGTCTGTTGGAGCACATAATATCAGATTGAGTTTTTATTCAAATTTGGTAAAAATAAATATACAACATTGGAGATGCTCTTATATTAGTTTAATGACTAAAATATTTTTTTCCATTGATTCTACTTAATAAAATAGATGAATGGTTTAGATTGAAAACAAATCAAAATATTAGGATTTAAATTGATAAAATTGAAAATTCATAATTTATTTTGTTAAAAGACTCAAATCTTGAAATTTCTTTTGTAACTGTCCCCAAATATATATATATATATATACATTAAAGGCATTTTTTTTTCTTTATTTTGTAAAACAATAGATAACTAAATTACTATAATTTGTTGGTTTACACACCTAAACGCAAAAGCTAGAAACAATCCCTACTCGGCTTCAATTTTTTTTTTTTTTTTTTAAGCTTTTTAAAATATTTTTTACCTCACAATTTATTGGCAAAATTGCACCAAACACTAACAAACTCTGAAAAAACATATCCTAACTTGCACCAAACAGCACCTAACACACTAACCTTGTCAAACCAACCTCAAAAACAATTTCATCATTACCAGTAAAATGGTTGTGTTTTGTCAATACAAAGACTGTGCTAGCTGCCAAGATTTCAAGCCCCCAAAGAATATCCATATCTTTTCCAGACTCCCAAACAAAACCTCCCTTAGGATTCAATGTACATATCTACAGAACATGACATGGAAGCATCGGTATGAATAATCTCACAACACGTTTCTTGTCTAAGTGAACCGAGTCAAGTCAAATTGAATCGAGATATATTTTGAAATATTCAAGCTCAGCTTGCTAAAAATTTGATAACTAAAGCTCAAGATGAGCTCAACAAACTTAAAAAACCCGAGCTCAAAATTGAAATCAATTCAAGTCAACTCGATTATATAAATGAGCCAAACTCAAGTTCGAAAAGAATTTTTTACTTTTATTTTTTTAAAAATAGAACACTAAACTATTATGCACATTAAGAGAAAAAAAAGAAAACATTATGAGCACCCCCAAAAAAAACATATTATTAATAAATTTTGTCAATCTCGACTCAATACGAAACAAGTCTAAAAATTTGATTTGAAATTATTTATTTAACATATGAGTCAAACTCAAATTAACTTTAAACAAGCTGAGTTATATTGTTTATTAATGGCTCAGTTCCTTTAACCCTACACATAATGACCTCACACGGTACATTTCATTTGCAGGCAAAATCAACCTTGGGTATCAAAAGATTTTGTAGTTTTCAAAAGAGTTGTTTTTCTCCAGTTTAACTTCATAGCAAGTTTTTCACAGGGTTCTTCCTTTTGGAATTTTATACGGACAAAGCTAAGTCATGACATGGCACGGATGGAGCCAGAGGGCAGCATCTGTACGGCAACCTTGTACAAACAAAAAACATAATAATTTATAGATTGAATTTTTTATACGTATAAAATAATATTCATCCACTGAAAAACAGAAAAATGACGCCCTACGAGATTCTGTACAAGTTTTTTTTTTTTTTTTAATAAAGAAAATATATGTTTAATATTTTCCTTATTTTCGTAATCAAACTGGAGGTTAATCCGGGTCTCGACTCCTCACTTTTAATTAGCTTTAATTTTCTATTCATTATATTTTATTCTGTACAAGTGCAGAAAAAATACATATATAACAAATAACAATAATAATAATTACAAAGTGATTTATTCCTATCTTGCTATGTTGGCATTAAAAGGATCAAACTCTCTCCTTATGCCTAAAAATCTTATTTTGATGAATCCAATAATTGAATTTAAAGCAAATTATTTTGAAGCTTTCGATTTTGAAATATTTTACAAATAAAAGATATTGCCGAGACTAATTGAAGCCATCTGCTTTTATATATCTATCATTTCGCATCAAATCAATACCAACAGAAACTCTTTTCTTTTTTATTTTTGGTCAATAGGAAGGAGGAGATAAATAACAAGAAAAGTACAAATAAAGTCTATGTAGCCAAAATCATACAAGCTCATCAAACCAAACAAATACCAGAAAACTCCAAACAAATATAACGAAAAAATGACCCACAAAATGTGAGAAGAGTCAAACCTCGAACATCCTAGCGAGGTATAAAGACTCTTGACCAACAGGCTAGCCATGTTGGTTTGGAAACTTCCTCCTCAATGCCTGCTTTTTCATGGATGTTTGACCAAAGAACTTAGAAAATAACTCCTAGTTCTCTCAGGAAGATGTTTGATCAACCAGTTCATACATGTAACATACGAGAACAAATCAAGGCTAGCCATCAAATTTCTGATAGACTCTGAAAGTCAAACATGGTACTTCGATCCAAATGAAAAATATTTCCCACAAAACAAAATCATGGCTAAATAAACGTCACAAAGAGACTGGTTCATTATACTGGTCACAATTCAAGCCATTCAATTTTATATTTATGGAAGCATAACGCAACCTAACCACGTTATCACATTTCACACATCACTTCCATGCTGCGCCAACTCAAAATCAGTCATAGATTGGTTATACTTAGATGATCCAAGCCATTCAATTAGCAGACTTCATATTGAATCTCCACAATCATTAAACTGGTCAAAATTCTAGCAAGAGGCTACAATACTATCTCACACTTCTAAATATGGTATATACAAAGACCCATCATTGTCCACACAAATAAGTCACTAGTTAAGACAAAGGGTTGCTTTCCTTCCAATTTCATAAAACCACCCACATGTAATTGATTTAATCCTATTTTATTAGCCAACATCAATGCCCTAATCTGCATGAGAGTACACCATATATAATATAACCAGTACACTGCTCTCTAATTCACATCAACCGCACTCGACAATATCGGTAGTTAATTCATCCTAGGTTCATCCATCAACAAAAAAAGAACAAAGCCCTCTTCCATGGAGAAAAAAAAACAACTCAAATATTCAACTTCCACCTGGTTTTAGGTTCCACCCAGCTGATGAGGAGTTCATCGTGCACTATTTGAGAAACAAAGCAACTGCAAGTTCACTTCTGTGTTGCTGCATCCAACACTTTGTTCCTGAAATCTTCTTTTATTCTTTTGATGGTCAAACTTACCAAGCGAAAAAGAATTATTATTTTTTTTTTTTTGTTTCTTTTTTAAACAGGGAAAGCTTTGTTTGGCAAGGAGGAATGCTACTTCTTCACCCCAAGGGATAGGAAGTACCCCAACGGAGTGAGGCCTAATAGGATGGCAGCTTCAGGTTATTGGAAGGCTACGGGAACTAATAAACAAATTCGCAGTTCATGTGGAGCAAGGATAATTGGAGTGAAAAAAGCTCTGGTGTTCTATAGAGGACGCCCTCCAAGAGGAATCAAGACGGACTGGAACATGCAGGAGTACAAATTGCCCGAAGCAACGATGTTGACTTCCAACCAAAAAGGATGCATAAGGGTAAGTTGTTTTGCATGATATCTAGTTTTCATTAACGTTCCATTTGCTTCAGTGGAAAACTTTCAGAGAAAACACTTTCCTATGTTTGGCTGCATCCTTGAAACTAATGTACTAATGATTGTATTAGTGGTGGTGGTGGGGCGGCGGTGGTGGCCACAGTGGTGATGGTGGTGGTGAAGGTGATGGTAGCGGTGATAGTGCAGTGCCACTAGTACGATGTTAGTCCAAAAAACGTTTTCCGCCCAAATAGGCTTCTTTTCCTTTGACCACAGAAACATTTTCCGTTGACTTTCGTTTTCCGTTATGCCAAACACCAGCTCAAACAAATGGAGTGTTAACAAGAAGTGGATGTTCTTATGAATCACTGGATCCAACATAAGGGCTTAACCTTTCATGCCACTTCTTGCATTGGCATAGTCTACAACAAGCTCTAAGCAGCTCCTCTTCTCATGAGTTTCCAATAACGCATGCAGACACAATACATATTTCATATATCAACTCAATACCAGCACAAGAATATTGATAATTTTTCTATTTTTTTACACTAAGCAGAGATTGATCAAATGCTTTTCTTCTTAACAGTTCGATGATTGGGTACTCTGCCACTTTCGGCAGAAAAACAGTATAAGGAACAGTTTGGAAGATCAATTTGGTTATAGAAATGAATCACTTTGTGAAGAACCATGCTCTACAAGTACAAATGCCAAACTTGAAATGGTCAGAGAATTTCTGTACAGAGATTGCCTGGTGTTACCATTAAGCATTGGGTCTTCCATGGACACAGTTTCTAGCATAAGCTTTGAAGCTAGCAAAACCTTTACTTCAGTCTGTAAAGGCTATTCTGACAAACTATTCGCAATACTCAGTCCCACCTTTCTACAGTTCGATCAATGGACATAAGAGAAAGCAGCCCACTGAAGGAACTCAGTATGAGAATTTCATCCAACCCAAGAAGGTAACTGACAGAGATGATCAATGGAGCGACAACAGAACTGAATCGAATTTATGTATTACAAACCAGTCCGAAGGTAACAACTTCAACACCAACCAATGGAATTCTATAATCCAATATCAAGAGTTTAATCACTTGGACTTTGCAGAAGGTGAGTGAAGTATTCGGGAAACCATATGGATATAACATTTTGGTGTTTTCTGGAAGTGACTGTATGTTTCATATTTTTAAAGATGTTGGAATGTGTCAAATAAGTCTTGTACAACAAGGTAGTGGGCCAAAGCAAATACAGTGATTTATTTCACTGGGAATGCTTCATAAAAAGAATTTCTAACTAGAATAACACGGCACTATTACTTCAGAAAATAATAACAATGATGATGGATATTTGTTATGAAATAATTAGAAACTAACATGCCATGTTCTACTAGTGAATTTCTAGCTATAAACTCTGTTTGAAAATCACTACTTTTTTCATAAGTAAATACATATGTACATAAATGGGTATGTTGTAGATATCTGAGAAATATATATACATATATTGCAACTAAAAGTTCACTCTCCAAGCATGTGAATCTTTGGGTTAAATGAAACTGTTACAAACTTATTGAATGTTTTCTTTGCAATTAATGAATGAAGTGGCTAGACATGTTGAAGACAAGATTACATGAGATATGTTAATTGTTAAAAGTATTGATCAACGAAATTATAGTAGAATAAATGTTTTAAGATTAGAGAAGAGCTTTAGATTAAGAGGTTTTGAATATATAAGACTACAATCAAATAGATGAAATATAACTTAACAAAAACATACATTAATTAAAAATAATGAATATCACAGCCCCATAGATTTTAAAAGGGTACCATTTTGTTATCTATAGTCAAATCATTAATGAGAGAAATTTGAAAATGCATATCACAACGCCATGGGTGAAATGTAAGAACTATAAGACCAACCAATTCTTATAATAGAAGATGTTTGGAAGCTACTTAACATGATATAGTAAGACAAACATGAATTGTGGAAGTTGAAATGTATGCAATTGTAAAAAGATGTCACCCTGGTACGAAATTATTTAGGAGTGAACTCTCTAGTTTGCTGGTTTGCAGGAAGTTTTTTGATGTTCCATTTAAGCTTTGGATAGAAGATGGTTTCAGCTATGTGGCAAATGTGATTAGCAGTATACTCGATCCCATTGTAGGCTTATTTTTCCAAAGCGTCTGTATTGAAATTTAAGCAAATAAGGAGATTCCAAATTCCTTCATACTTAATTTAGGTCATGAGGACCCTTATGAAATTAGAGTTGAAGTGTCAAGAAAACCCCAAAAATGTGATGAGTGCAAAGCTTTTAGTCATTAACCAAAGCTCATGGTTTCTAGTTCCTTAACCAAACAAGAATGGTTAGTTAAAAGGGATAAAGGGGAAACAAAACCCAGTAAATGGGCGGAAAGCCAAAAAGAGATATGGAAAGGATGTCATGCATTCTTGCCCAAAGAAAAAGCTTAAGGTGTGACCTCTACATCCATTTATCCAACTTCATCAAATATTTTTGATGTGTTATCAGCATGTGTTCCAAATGAGATTCCAGGGGTTGAGATGAAGAGTAATGTTGTGTTTGGTTAGGGGACTTGGGAAGGGATTTGGAATTGGAATTGGAATTGGAATTGGAAATGGAAATGGAAATAGAAAGGGAAAATGTAAGTGAAATGTAAATAAAATATACCTACATTTCACCTAATTTCACACACCTTTTCCCTTTCCCTTTTCCTTTCCAAATCCCTCCCCAAATCCCCCAACCAAACACAGCATAAAGGAAAAAAATAGAGGAAAGATGTGAGTATTTCTTATAAGGAAAATGCTACGGATGATATGATCCACAAATAGCGACAATCACAGAGCATACTATTTTTGTGTTAAGTCCAAGAGTAGAAAAAGGTAATGGATTATAACTTGAAGTTGGAAAAACTAGAAAAACAAATGTTAAAGCTTCCACGGCTCTAATACCAAATAAGCAGCCACAGAAGGAACTACAATCACAAAGAAGAAAACAAGATCCCTGAGGAGAATACAAAGACAGAATTTTATTTAGCACACAAGAACTACAAAATACAAGCTTAGGGGAGAGATAGATGGCCCTCTAGCCTCAAAACACTCCTTTTATTGCTAATAAAAAATAAAAATAAAAATAAAAGAAGCCAAGGTAAAAGGATTATTGATGCTGTTAGAATTCACCTCACCTACTCCACTAAACCTAACCCACTACACCACTACCACCTCACCTACTCCACTAAACCTAACCCACTACACCCACATACTCTCCACCTACTTCACCCACTTAAACCTACTCCACTAAACCTAACCCACTAAATCCACATACTCTCCACCTACTTCACCCACTTAAACCTACTCCACTAAACCTAACCCACTAAATCCACATACTCTCCACCTACTTCAATTTGTAATTTTTTGAAAAAATTTTATAAGCAAATTCTAAAAACTCAACCAAACAAATTGCAAGGGAAAGGAAGTCATGCCCAAAGCCTTCTAGGAAGACTGTACACTCTAATTGATATAACGAGATGTGGGCTAATGGTTCTATTTGTTTATTGTATAGTTCTTGAGTTATATATGCCTACTACTGAGCCTCTGGGTTGTGAGAAGAAGTGTTTTGGATGGGTGCAGTTTGTTTGTTTATATTTTGGTTTTCATGCTTTGGCCTAGTCCCTCGAGCTGTGAGGGTTTTACTTTCTTTGTTTGGTTAGATCTTGTTTTCATGTTGCCCAAGAGTTGTGTTGCCGCAAAAGTTTATTTTTTACGGACACTTAGGGTCATATACCAAGCCTCATTACATCTCTCTTTTTTGGTAATCAAATTGCTCACTTACCCAAGCCCAATTAGTACACATTAATGTGTGTTTGGGAGGGGAAAGATAAAGTACACACCTAACCTTTGACATAATGCACAAAGTGATGGTCCCAAGACTTGAACCCATAACTTCAAGGTTATTAGACCAAGTCTTAACCATTAAACATGAAGTAGCAATATAAATAAACTAGATGAACATAAGTTCGAATGGTTTGACTGTTACTAGTAACTACACAAATGATAAAAAGTGGCATCATCGACATTGAGGGCGTTATTGATGAGTGCAAGCTTGTAAGCTCTTTGCACTTTTTTCATCTCTATTAATAAAGACTTGCTTCGAGTAAGGTTTTCACACCCCAAAACTTCATTTTTTTTTTATAAGTTCACATGCTATAAATATATAAGTGCATAAATTTGTTCTTAGATTTTATGTTAGTATGTTAAATTTTAGTTGCTAGGATGAGTTAGGAAATTTGTGTATATGTTAGAGTCCTAGACATTGTGTAAATTTAATTTTATGTGCAAGGCATGATCTCATATTTGGTAACCAACGATTTTTTTTGCAATTGAAATGAATTTAGGTTAATTTAGAAAATGTGTTGGTGGTGAAGGCATTTTTTATTGAAATTAAATTGTGGTGCAAACTTATGTATGTAAACTCATATTTCCAAATATGGATTTGTTTGAGCTAGAATGTGATTAATGTTGTTGTGTATGTTTACTTATGTGATACAGCTCAGGAGAAGAATCTCATAAAAAGTTCAGCAACACCAGAGTTAAAAGAGAAGTTCCAGGACCTGACCAATTTATTTATCTTATTCTTAATCTTAGAGAGCATTAGAGTTCTGTTTGATGATTTAAGTGAGTGTTTTATGATGCTTTTACCGTATAGGATTAATGAAAAAGGATTTTGCAACTGTAGTCATGGATTTAATGGTATTCATAAGGGTGACAAAATAAGGATTTGGTACTCAATTGTTAATATGTATAAAGCTTGTCAGAAAAACGGCCAATTCGGGATTTTTGTTCATCTACTGCTATTGATGCTTGCTTCGGTGAATTATCAAGTCTTTTTCTCAATACTCTACTGTGTTTATTTTTTTTATTTTTCTCTTCAAGTCCTTAGAAACTGCTTTTATACTTCAAGGCAAGGAGAGGGCAGCTTGACAAAAATTATCACTTTCTAGTAGATTTCACCCAGCAAGTGGCAGCCCTTGCATGGTGTTAAAATCCACCTACTCTCCACCTACTTCACCCACTTAAACCTACTCCACTAAACCTAACCCACTACACCACTACCACCTCCACCTACTTCACCCACTTAAACCTACTCCACTAAACCTAACCCACTAATATTTTGTGGAACATCATCAAAATTCAAAATTCAGAGTCTATAAATTGCCACATCATTATGAGTTTTAAAATACTGATGTATTAATGTGTCTCTTTTACAATCATTGATTATGATGTAGAGATCTCCATTTCCTGACTGCAAGGGCGAGGATTTCAACCAAGCACTTGAAGTGGAATGTGATGTTTCTCAAGTCAGTTTGGTAGAATCTTAGCCAACGGAATAAACCTATTGCATTTTAAGCAAGAAGTTAACAATGCAAGGAAATTGTATTAATGTGGAATTTTATGTTGTGGTGCAAGCATTGTAGCTTACAATTTTGTCCTTAAGCATGAGAATAGTTCACAAAACCATGTTGCAAATGCATTGAGTTGTAGAATGATTTAATACTTTATGGTTGAGGTAATTGAATCTGATGCTCCATCTCACCTACTCCACTAAACCTAACCCACTACACCACTACCATCTCACCTACTCCACTAAACCTAACCCACTACACCACTACCATCTCACCTACTCCACTAAACCTAACCCACTACACCACTACCATCTCACCTACTCCACTAAACCTAACCCACTACACCACTACCATCTCACCTACTCCACTAAACCTAACCCACTACACCACTACCATCTCACCTACTCCACTAAACCTAACCCACTACACCACTACCATCTCACCTACTCCACTAAACCTAACCCACTACACCACTACCATCTCACCTACTCCACTAAACCTAACCCACTACACCACTACCATCTCACCTACTCCACTAAACCTAACCCACTACACCACTACCATCTCACCTACTCCACTAAACCTAACCCACTACACCACTACCATCTCACCTACTCCACTAAACCTAACCCACTACACCACTACCATCTCACCTACTCCACTAAACCTAACCCACTACACCACTACCATCTCACCTACTCCACTAAACCTAACCCACTACACCACTACCATCTCACCTACTCCACTAAACCTAACCCACTACACCACTACCATCTCACCTACTCCACTAAACCTAACCCACTACACCACTACCATCTCACCTACTCCACTAAACCTAACCCACTACACCACTACCATCTCACCTACTCCACTAAACCTAACCCACTACACCACTACCATCTCACCTACTCCACTAAACCTAACCCACTACACCACTACCATCTCACCTACTCCACTAAACCTAACCCACTACACCACTACCATCTCACCTACTCCACTAAACCTAACCCACTACACCACTACCATCTCACCTACTCCACTAAACCTAACCCACTACACCACTACCATCTCACCTACTCCACTAAACCTAACCCACTACACCACTACCATCTCACCTACTCCACTAAACCTAACCCACTACACCACTACCATCTCACCTACTCCACTAAACCTAACCCACTACACCACTACCATCTCACCTACTCCACTAAACCTAACCCACTACACCACTACCATCTCACCTACTCCACTAAACCTAACCCACTACACCACTACCATCTCACCTACTCCACTAAACCTAACCCACTACACCACTACCACCTCCACTTCACCTACTCCTTACCTACTACACACTCACCCTCTTCTATATATAGGAATCATGAATCATTGTAATATATCAATATATCAATCAATAATAATACATACAATTTATTCTCTCTCTTTCTCTATACATTATTTCTTACAAGTTAACTATGGGCCAGTCACAAGATAGTGACTTCCCAATTGCAACTGTTAATTGTCATCATGTGAGTATTGTTTTTGGGGTACTTTTACCTAGGCATAGCACCTAGCACGATTCAATTACGCTGGTGGTTGATCAGTTTCTTAAGATAACCCATTTTATTCTATGTACTCGAACTGCCATGTATTATTGGCGGTCGAGATACTGTAGGAAGTAGGGGTGTAAAATAGCCGACCAACCGATTGGGTTTTTATCAGTTTTGGTTCGGTATCCTGCTTTTGTATTTTGGAGACAGAGTGAATCAAAACCAACAGAAATCTCATTTACCCATTTCAAATCTATTATTTAATGCATTAGTGCATGATTATACATAAAGTTTGCCAGATTTGTCGTACTATACTGTAAAACTCATCCTACTCATGAATCCCATTTACTCTCTCTCTCTCTCTCTCTCTCTCTCTCTCTCTCTCTCTCTCCATTATTCTCTGCTATCACTTCCCTCTGCTCTTCCTCATTGGACAATGACTGTCTGCAATGCTACTATTTCAGTCCATCAATTGTGGAATCATAGTCATTCGTGGAGATCTTCAGGTAGGTGGCATAGTCAGGTTTGGCAGTGCCTTCCATGAAGAAATCAAAGAGGGAAAGTGATTAAGCAAAGGGCAATATGAGAGCAAATGAGAAGCAGATAAAGAAAATTTAGACATAAGGTGTGCTTTTT